TCCCTCCGTCCCGTTTTAAATTAACCATTTTGACTTTAAAGCATATTTAAGAAAGAGAAAAAATAGAGTTGACTTTCCAAAATTGTCATTAGTTTTAGGAAAGGTGACGATGAATGAGAAGATAAGGTGGAGAAGAGTGGCTTATTTTAGGGATATTTTAGGTATTTTACTCTTAAAAGTTTACGATAACAAGATACATGCAACTTATTTTAGGACAGAGAAAAAAGAAAAACAGATAATTTAAAATGGAACCGCGGGAATACAAAACATAACCAAATGGAAACTATGAAGCATAATTCTGTTGGCTATTTCAAAGGAATTCTTGCCTTTATCATTAACCATTTGTTTTGCAAGTTTTTGTCCATTGGTTTACAACAGATTCCATTATTAAAAACATTTAAACTTGGTAGCAAAAAGAGAAAGGGGATGGGGAAGTCACCCAAGCCAAATAATCTTGTTAATTCTTAGCACCTGATCTAATTTTTTTTTCTTTTTTGTTAACGCTGATTCCTTTGAAAAGATGTAAATGTGACAAGTGATAAATACGGAGTACAAAATTGCTTGGAAGTACAACTACGTAAAATTCAATATGAGAACCCCATGAATAACATCTTATTACAATTCTTTACAACAAAAGAATATGTAAATCAAATACCAACCCCAAAAAACCAACTGTGTAGAAAAAGAGAACCAAAACTCAAAGATAATAATAGAAAGAAATGAAGGGGTGTTTTAAATGTTCATTCTGGAGCCCCCACCCCCCCCCCCCACCCCACCCCCCGGTGCCTCCTATTCATGAGCTCAAAATTCAGCTTCTGCTTTACCAGCCAAGAGGTGAGGAGGGACTAAATCGTCAATCCAATCAGCATATATTGGACATATTTTCTTGCTTAATTTCCATTTCAAAAACTTCTTGCCCTCTTCTTGCTTTTCATTCACAGGAGCGCACTGCACTGCATTTGCAGGGGGTTGATCGAGCACGGGAAGGTGAGGCTTGTTTGGGATCGAACCAAAATTTGTTGTTGCTTCGTTCTCATTTCGGACAAAAGCAGAATTTAACTCTGACAAACAAACACGTAAAACTTTCTAACATGAGCAAGTCAGCTAGGATAGAAAAGCAAGCAGCTATATCTACCGTCTACATCAATAAGAATGTAACAAAAACAGGTGATTTTCAAGAATATAATCTCTTAATCTATCATAATGTTTTTGTTTCAACCCAAGAGGGCCCTCTCATGAACAAGAAAACCATCTTTGACATTTTTATGCCACCTAATGTAAATAATGCAGTACTTAAGAACAGGAATGTGTGAATATCATCTCTAAACAAGTTCAAACAATTAAAAAAAAGGTAAAATCCATCAACAAGGGTAAAGTGAAAGCACACAGATAAAGGGGGAAAAAAGGGTGTACAATGAAAGTATTTTATGGCATGTTTGGGAACATAAATTTGAATTTCAAATCCTGGTTAGGCTCAAATTCCATGTTTGGGAATCTTAAAACTTTAGGCTTTGGATTTGAGGCAAATTCCTCTAATTCATAACAAAGCTCAATCACAATCATATACTTTCCCTTGTCATTTGAAAATCAAGAATTCAAATTTTGAAATTGAAATAAAATGCTAGTTTCAAAACACTACCTTAATGCATCAACAATGTAAACACAATTAAGATTTGAATCAATGGCATACCTGATTGGCCATGAGCATAGTGACACCTATCGCCAAATGGGCACTGCCCTGTGATTTCCCACTTGCTACATATCTTTGTTTTCCAAGATGTAGTTTTGATCCGGTAAGTATCTGGATCAAGACTTGAATGTTGGTTAATCTCAAACTGGTCGGTCTCGCCTCTCCTCCCCAACATATGAGTGGTTGTTCCAATGCTTATGACAGAGCTTTCCACTTGATCTCTCATAATATCATTCTTAAACTGTGGCGAGCGTTCATGTAGAAAGTTACACCTCTCACCATAAGGGCATTCCTCTCCATTGTAAAACTTCTTGCAAATCTTTACCCTAGGTGTTACTTTCTGATCATTACTCCAGTTCCCTGCTCCTCCTCTATCCTTGATGATGTCCTGCCAATTTGGAGGAGGCTCTCGCAGATCGTCCGGACCATGGGCAAATGTACAGTGCTCACCATTTCTACAGTTCCCTTCCAAGAACTTCATACACATGCGCGTCTTATAAAATATATGGTTTGATCCTTTTCCGGGGAGATTTGGTGGGTTCACTTTCAAATTTTGGAAAGTTGCAGAATTTGGTGGGTTGTTTTCCGAAATTCTTGATCTTTTAAAAGGGGGCTCGTTCAAAAACTGAGGATACAGCTCAAGGTGATCATGTTTCACCTGCAGGGGAGGCCAAAATCCTGCCAGATCACCTCCAGCATATGGCAACGACACGAAGGAATGTAGCGGTGCTGTTGGATCAGGAAAGCTCATTCTCTTCTTTCCAATAAAAAGTAAAAAATAATAATAGTTAAAAACTAAAAATAATAATCAAAGATGTAACTTTTCACAAACACAATATGCATCCAGATTATGTAACTTAATTTAAACAAACAAAAAAACCATATACAATGTGAAATGCATATCAATGACATTTAGACATTTGCTTAACTCACAGAATAATCAATGAATGCCTTATCAAGGATTGGAATGAAGAAAAAAGCAACAACCATTAGTCTCATAACAGTTGAAAGATGAACACAGAACAAACAAATCTAATGAAAAATTATGTGGTCAATCCCAAATTCTCATATGATTATTTCAAGAACTAAAACTCCTAGCAGATCTTTAGGGCTAATAAAGTAGAAATACAAAAGCAATGCAGAGCAAGCAAACCTGATAAAGGAGTACCGATCAGTATCAACAAGAACCTGGTTGAAACTTGAATGATTTGCAAATAAAGATCAATATTGATGATATATACTAGTATATTAATGGTGTAAACGCTCAAAGAAAATTTGAAAATCAAGAAAGAAAGAAAAAAAAGAGAATGGGGTTAATGGAAAAGATCAAAAGAATGGGGAGAGCCGCAGCTTAATCGAGAAGGAGAAATCAAACACAAATAGGGTGCAGAGAATTAGACATTAATTATTATAGTATTGATGGTCCAAAGTGGACTAGGAAAGAAACCCTAAAAAGGCAAAACCCCAACACTGGCGAAACACGGCTAAACCCCTGGCGGCAGTTGCCCTCACATTTGTTTGGTTTGGTAAACCTATTAATGGACTCTTCGAGAATACTGTTACAAGTTAGTGTTTATATTTTGAAATAATTATATATGGGCATCGTTTGGCATTAGCGTATTCAAAGTTAATCTACACCATTAAAGTTTTATCCAAAAACACTAATCGAAAATATTTCCTAAATAATTCAAAGTGTACACCTTTTTTGAATAAATTACAATCAAATGTTCGGACCCTGAATCACATAGAGCGGGTTCGGGTTCGGGTTCGAGTGAAAAAGTGAATGTCAAGTACTTGAAGGGGCTAAAATTTTAAAAAGTATAAGATCAGGATTGTCTTAGAACGTCAAATAAAAAATATATACATGACTACAAAACTACTACTCCTTCCGTCTCAGAGTATTTGTCCACTTTTATTTTTACACAATATCCAATACACTTCTTTAATCAATTTTATCTTGTAATTTGTATATTAAAAAATTATAGAAATTATATATTAATAATTTATATGTTAAGACAAATCAAACAAGATCACACATGATCATATTTAGGCTTACACATTGAGAGAATTTGATGAGTCAAAGTGCTTAGATGAACAGTTTCAAAAGTCAAAAGTGGACGAATATAGCGGGACGGAGGTAGTAATATTTTTATAGAATAAAATGCACTAGTCTTATAAACATGATCAATAATTAAATAAAAATTATATTGCTTATTCAATGTGGAGTACAAAAATAATTTGATGTCTAGTTGTTTTCCAAACCACTATTTTATTATTAATACTTAATTTAGTACATTTTTATTTAATCGATAATCAATGTTTATATGATTTGGTTGAAAAAGCCAAAATAGTTAGATATTTTAAGAATGAAATCATGTTTTAGTGGAGTTGAAAACATATTTAATAAAATATGAGTAAAACCTATTCTTTTGTCACCAAGTAAAGTTTCCCATTTTTTTAATCATACTAAAAAAAGTGATGGATACCCTAAACTGGGGGTATCTAGCCCAGTCAATTACCATTGACCCCAAGGAGAAGCCCACTTAACTTCGAATGATCAGAATGCACTCAGCCAAACAAAGCTACTTTGTAAAGTGGGATGGTTGAACTAAGTCTTCTGGTTACCCAACCACACACGACCTTTGCCTAAAAACATGCACTCGGACCCGATTTCCTACCCGCACGACACAAAGTCTAAATGACAAAGGTTTGTACTCGACCTCTGAAATGGTACAGCATCGTTAAGCATAACGGATTCGTACATTAGAGGAGAAGACTTGAGCAAGAAACCACAAGAAGAAGCATTGGATTCCTTTTCCTCTGTCTAAATCTTAGACCCACTTAGGAACTTTCCTTGTGCGTGGTACAGCCGTACATTATTTGACATATGTATTTACATTCTATGTACTATTGATAGGGACGCGTATCTTCTTGGCCACCACCCACGATGATCATGACATGGCTTTGTCCAAAACAAACAATTAGGGGACAAATGCACATGACGATTGACTTGTATAAATACTCCCTCCACTTTGGACGAGGGACATCACAATCTCACTAAGCGAATACGCTCATACTGCACTCTTGCAGTATAGGAACGCTCTGCTTGTTTGAATTACTCTCTTTACCTAGTCTACTATAGGACCAGGTTCTAAAACCTATCATTGGTATTCTCATTGAGAGTTTTTTAACACATCAAGTTTGCTCTTTCAAGATGGTTGCCTCACAAAGAGCGACGAGATAACCTGCTGCCACCACCAACACCTTCCAACACTTGTGATGACCTAGACATCAGTCTAAACGATGTTACCAACCCTACCACCGTTAATTTCCGCAACCGCATCTCGCAACGACGAACCACGGACGGAGAAGGTCTCAAGATCCCCATGAGGCAAGCACCAACCATCGGGCCAGGGTTTCCATTCCCAGCTCAACTCAGAGACCCAATGAAATTGTCCGCACCTGGGGGATGAGATTGCTTGGTGACATCAGCTCACCATTCTTCAGTTTGACAAAACATCCGGCACTAGGCCTCCCTTGGACCCCAACAATTTTTAGGCCATGATGAGTACGATGATGAAGANTTTTGTGTACTCGCCACATCTCCACCAATGAACAACCGGCAGATCTCTTTACAAAGGCTTTGGCTTCCGCTCCATTTTCCCATTTGCTGTCCAAACTGGGCATCCAGAATCCGCATGCTCCAGCTTGAGGGGGGGTGTTGGGCGGTGCTCCTTGGACCACACGGCAAGAAGGAGAGCAAATCCCATTCTAAGTGGGATTGCTCTTGATTTGTTTCCTTGTTCATATTTAGTGATTTGTTTCCTTGTAGGAATAGAATTCCTTTTGTGTTTTGGTCTTTATCCTCTCCTATAAATAAAGGAGAAACTCCTTGTACTTAGCAGAACAATTCAATATACAGAATATTTTTTCCCTCTTATCAAATTCTACAATATATAAAGGCTCTTCATCATCGTACTCATCATGGCCTAAAAATTGTTGGGGTCCAAGGGAGGCCTAGTGCCGGATGTTTTGTCAAACTGAAGAATGGTGAGCTGATGTCACCAAGCAATCTCATCCCCCAGGTGCGGACAATTTCATTGGGTCTCTGAGTTGAGCTGGGAATGGAAACCCTGGCCCGATGGTTGGTGCTTGCCTCATGGGGATCTTGAGACCTTCTCCGTCCGTGGTTCGTCGTTGCGAGATGCGGTTGCGGAAATTAACGGTGGTAGGGTTGGTAACATCGTTTAGACTGATGTCTAGGTCATCACAAGTGTTGGAAGGTGTTGGTGGTGGCAGCAGGTTATCTCGTCGCTCTTTGTGAGGCAACCATCTTGAAAGAGCAAACTTGATGTGTTAAAAAACTCTCAATGAGAATACCAATGATAGGTTTTAGAACCTGGTCCTATAGTAGACTAGGTAAAGAGAGTAATTCAAACAAGCAGAGCGTTCCTATACTGCAAGAGTGCAGTATGAGCGTATTCGCTTAGTGAGATTGTGATGTCCCTCGTCCAAAGTGGAGGGAGTATTTATACAAGTCAATCGTCATGTGCATTTGTCCCCTAATTGTTTGTTTTGGACAAAGCCATGTCATGATCATCGTGGGTGGTGGCCAAGAAGATACGCGTCCCTATCAATAGTACATAGAATGTAAATACATATGTCAAATAATGTACGGCTGTACCACGCACAAGGAAAGTTCCTAAGTGGGTCTAAGATTTAGACAGAGGAAAAGGAATCCAATGCTTCTTCTTGTGGTTTCTTGCTCAAGTCTTCTCCTCTAATGTACGAATCCGTTATGCTTAACGATGCTGTACCATTTCAGAGGTCGAGTACAAACCTTTGTCATTTAGACTTTGTGTCGTGCGGGTAGGAAATCGGGTCCGAGTGCATGTTTTTAGGCAAAGGTCGTGTGTGGTTGGGTAACCAGAAGACTTAGTTCAACCATCCCACTTTACAAAGTAGCTTTGTTTGGCTGAGTGCATTCTGATCATTCGAAGTTAAGTGGGCTTCTCCTTGGGGTCAATGGTAATTGACTGGGCTAGATACCCCCAGTTTAGGGTATCCATCACTTTTTTTAGTATGATTAAAAAAATGGGAAACTTTACTTGGTGACAAAAGAATAGGTTTTACTCATATTTTATTAAATATGTTTTCAACTCCACTAAAACATGATTTCATTCTTAAAATATCTAACTATTTTGGCTTTTTCAACCAAATCATATAAACATTGATTATCGATTAAATAAAAATGTACTAAATTAAGTATTAATAATAAAATAGTGGTTTGGAAAACAACTAGACATCAAATTATTTTTGTACTCCACATTGAATAAGCAATATAATTTTTATTTAATTATTGATCATGTTTATAAGACTAGTGCATTTTATTCTATAAAAATATTACTACCTCCGTCCCGCTATATTCGTCCACTTTTGACTTTTGAAACTGTTCATCTAAGCACTTTGACTCATCAAATTCTCTCAATGTGTAAGCCTAAATATGATCATGTGTGATCTTGTTTGATTTGTCTTAACATATAAATTATTAATATATAATTTCTATAATTTTTTAATATACAAATTACAAGATAAAATTGATTAAAGAAGTGTATTGGATATTGTGTAAAAATAAAAGTGGACAAATACTCTGAGACGGAAGGAGTAGTAGTTTTGTAGTCATGTATATATTTTTTATTTGACGTTCTAAGACAATCCTGATCTTATACTTTTTAAAATTTTAGCCCCTTCAAGTACTTGACATTCACTTTTTCACTCGAACCCGAACCCGAACCCGCTCTATGTGATTCAGGGTCCGAACATTTGATTGTAATTTATTCAAAAAAGGTGTACACTTTGAATTATTTAGGAAATATTTTCGATTAGTGTTTTTGGATAAAACTTTAATGGTGTAGATTAACTTTGAATACGCTAATGCCAAACGATGCCCATATATAATTATTTCAAAATATAAACACTAACTTGTAACAGTATTCTCGAAGAGTCCATTAATAGGTTTACCAAACCAAACAAATGTGAGGGCAACTGCCGCCAGGGGTTTAGCCGTGTTTCGCCAGTGTTGGGGTTTTGCCTTTTTAGGGTTTCTTTCCTAGTCCACTTTGGACCATCAATACTATAATAATTAATGTCTAATTCTCTGCACCCTATTTGTGTTTGATTTCTCCTTCTCGATTAAGCTGCGGCTCTCCCCATTCTTTTGATCTTTTCCATTAACCCCATTCTCTTTTTTTTCTTTCTTTCTTGATTTTCAAATTTTCTTTGAGCGTTTACACCATTAATATACTAGTATATATCATCAATATTGATCTTTATTTGCAAATCATTCAAGTTTCAACCAGGTTCTTGTTGATACTGATCGGTACTCCTTTATCAGGTTTGCTTGCTCTGCATTGCTTTTGTATTTCTACTTTATTAGCCCTAAAGATCTGCTAGGAGTTTTAGTTCTTGAAATAATCATATGAGAATTTGGGATTGACCACATAATTTTTCATTAGATTTGTTTGTTCTGTGTTCATCTTTCAACTGTTATGAGACTAATGGTTGTTGCTTTTTTCTTCATTCCAATCCTTGATAAGGCATTCATTGATTATTCTGTGAGTTAAGCAAATGTCTAAATGTCATTGATATGCATTTCACATTGTATATGGTTTTTTTGTTTGTTTAAATTAAGTTACATAATCTGGATGCATATTGTGTTTGTGAAAAGTTACATCTTTGATTATTATTTTTAGTTTTTAACTATTATTATTTTTTACTTTTTATTGGAAAGAAGAGAATGAGCTTTCCTGATCCAACAGCACCGCTACATTCCTTCGTGTCGTTGCCATATGCTGGAGGTGATCTGGCAGGATTTTGGCCTCCCCTGCAGGTGAAACATGATCACCTTGAGCTGTATCCTCAGTTTTTGAACGAGCCCCCTTTTAAAAGATCAAGAATTTCGGAAAACAACCCACCAAATTCTGCAACTTTCCAAAATTTGAAAGTGAACCCACCAAATCTCCCCGGAAAAGGATCAAACCATATATTTTATAAGACGCGCATGTGTATGAAGTTCTTGGAAGGGAACTGTAGAAATGGTGAGCACTGTACATTTGCCCATGGTCCGGACGATCTGCGAGAGCCTCCTCCAAATTGGCAGGACATCATCAAGGATAGAGGAGGAGCAGGGAACTGGAGTAATGATCAGAAAGTAACACCTAGGGTAAAGATTTGCAAGAAGTTTTACAATGGAGAGGAATGCCCTTATGGTGAGAGGTGTAACTTTCTACATGAACGCTCGCCACAGTTTAAGAATGATATTATGAGAGATCAAGTGGAAAGCTCTGTCATAAGCATTGGAACAACCACTCATATGTTGGGGAGGAGAGGCGAGACCGACCAGTTTGAGATTAACCAACATTCAAGTCTTGATCCAGATACTTACCGGATCAAAACTACATCTTGGAAAACAAAGATATGTAGCAAGTGGGAAATCACAGGGCAGTGCCCATTTGGCGATAGGTGTCACTATGCTCATGGCCAATCAGGTATGCCATTGATTCAAATCTTAATTGTGTTTACATTGTTGATGCATTAAGGTAGTGTTTTGAAACTAGCATTTTATTTCAATTTCAAAATTTGAATTCTTGATTTTCAAATGACAAGGGAAAGTATATGATTGTGATTGAGCTTTGTTATGAATTAGAGGAATTTGCCTCAAATCCAAAGCCTAAAGTTTTAAGATTCCCAAACATGGAATTTGAGCCTAACCAGGATTTGAAATTCAAATTTATGTTCCCAAACATGCCATAAAATACTTTCATTGTACACCCTTTTTTCCCCCTTTATCTGTGTGCTTTCACTTTACCCTTGTTGATGGATTTTACCTTTTTTTTAATTGTTTGAACTTGTTTAGAGATGATATTCACACATTCCTGTTCTTAAGTACTGCATTATTTACATTAGGTGGCATAAAAATGTCAAAGATGGTTTTCTTGTTCATGAGAGGGCCCTCTTGGGTTGAAACAAAAACATTATGATAGATTAAGAGATTATATTCTTGAAAATCACCTGTTTTTGTTACATTCTTATTGATGTAGACGGTAGATATAGCTGCTTGCTTTTCTATCCTAGCTGACTTGCTCATGTTAGAAAGTTTTACGTGTTTGTTTGTCAGAGTTAAATTCTGCTTTTGTCCGAAATGAGAACGAAGCAACAACAAATTTTGGTTCGATCCCAAACAAGCCTCACCTTCCCGTGCTCGATCAACCCCCTGCAAATGCAGTGCAGTGCGCTCCTGTGAATGAAAAGCAAGAAGAGGGCAAGAAGTTTTTGAAATGGAAATTAAGCAAGAAAATATGTCCAATATATGCTGATTGGATTGACGATTTAGTCCCTCCTCACCTCTTGGCTGGTAAAGCAGAAGCTGAATTTTGAGCTCATGAATAGGAGGCACCGGGGGGTGGGGTGGGGGGGGGGGGTGGGGGCTCCAGAATGAACATTTAAAACACCCCTTCATTTCTTTCTATTATTATCTTTGAGTTTTGGTTCTCTTTTTCTACACAGTTGGTTTTTTGGGGTTGGTATTTGATTTACATATTCTTTTGTTGTAAAGAATTGTAATAAGATGTTATTCATGGGGTTCTCATATTGAATTTTACGTAGTTGTACTTCCAAGCAATTTTGTACTCCGTATTTATCACTTGTCACATTTACATCTTTTCAAAGGAATCAGCGTTAACAAAAAAGAAAAAAAAATTAGATCAGGTGCTAAGAATTAACAAGATTATTTGGCTTGGGTGACTTCCCCATCCCCTTTCTCTTTTTGCTACCAAGTTTAAATGTTTTTAATAATGGAATCTGTTGTAAACCAATGGACAAAAACTTGCAAAACAAATGGTTAATGATAAAGGCAAGAATTCCTTTGAAATAGCCAACAGAATTATGCTTCATAGTTTCCATTTGGTTATGTTTTGTATTCCCGCGGTTCCATTTTAAATTATCTGTTTTTCTTTTTTCTCTGTCCTAAAATAAGTTGCATGTATCTTGTTATCGTAAACTTTTAAGAGTAAAATACCTAAAATATCCCTAAAATAAGCCACTCTTCTCCACCTTATCTTCTCATTCATCGTCACCTTTCCTAAAACTAATGACAATTTTGGAAAGTCAACTCTATTTTTTCTCTTTCTTAAATATGCTTTAAAGTCAAAATGGTTAATTTAAAACGGGACGGAGGGAGTAGCATGATCTCTTGTGATAATGGTGTTTTTGAAAATAATTTTTTCGATGATTTTGGTCTCTTTGACTGATTGTGACTTTTTGACTAATCAAAAAGCCAAAGTCGTTATTTGGCTAATACTGTAATTTTTTTCATTGAGTTATTGAAAGATATTCAATAATATATGTAAAAGTAAAAAAAAAGTTCAAAAAATTATTAAAAAGTTGTATATTATTCCCTGAGTCCCAAATTTCACATGGTAAAATCTCATTCATTTTCTATTCATATTTTTTGTTAGCCATTTGATAAAATAATATAATCAAAATTAATTTGGGGATGCAATTGAAGGGGGTGGGAGAGTGTGTTCGGGTCAGAGCAGGATAGGGGGTTTACCGAAGGTTAAAAGGATATAACTGTTAATTCTACGAACAGGACAGCAGAGCATCTCCAGATCATCTCATACATTAATTTCAAATGTCATGGAAAGTAGTTTCATTTTTTATTTTTTATTTGGTCAAAATGTAAGAATAAAATTAAAGTGAACAGTGTCACGTCGACATTTCCGAATGTGGTTATGAGTAGCTTTTGACAAAAACTACGTGGCCATGAGGGTGACCACAGGACCACCGTTGATGGAAGAAGCTACCCTCCTCAAGAGCTACACGTGTCACGTCGACATCTCCGATGCACGCGCGCGCGGCGGGGGACCGCCAGCCCAGGAGGTGCTTTCCCATTGGAAATTGGATAGTTTTTCTGTCCTTCCCGGCGAGAAATGCACTTTCTTCTCTCTTCCTCCACAACCGCCGCTGCAGGTCATCTCATATCTCTGTCTAAAACCCTCACAGCCCACAAATCTTGGATCCTCGTTCCCGCCATGTCCATGACCTTCCACTCCCACGCCTTTTCCGGCAACCCCATCAAGCTCAGGACCCCAAAACCCACCGACCCATTTTCATCATCTTCAGCTCTCCAGACCTTGAAAAACATTGTCTCCGGTAGGACTGATTTAAATCTACCCCTCTCCCCCAATTTCAAGATCTTGCCTTTCAGAAAGGGCCGCCCTTTGGCCGGCTCCTCCGGCAGACCAGACCCTAATTGGCGACTGGGCTGGTTGGATTTCGGGGACTGTAGGGTTTTGTTGGAGGATTGTAATCAGAAACTGGGTGATGATTCATTTGTTTATCTGGGGTCTAAGGATGAGGAGGGCGAAGATCGAAGTGCTGTGGTGTATTGGGCTATTGATGTGTCCGAGTGCGGGGACGGGTTGGTGGAAGCATTGGGAGCTAGACAGCTTTGCTTTGTTGAACTGAGGACTTTGATGGTGGCTTCGGATTGGGCGGATTCTCATGCCATGGCCGAACTCGCAGTTGCTGGTCATGTGAGTGTGACTTCTCAACTCTCATCTTTGCACTTATGATGTTGGATTGGAAATTTTGATGAGTTATAATGATATATTATAGGTTCGACAGTGAACGAGTTTGAGAGCTTATGACTGTTTGGGATTCAAGTTTTAGCATCAATAGTTTATTTTGGTGATTGTTCGTGTTGCTTAATTGATGAACCTATCTGTTCGTGCTCTTTAAAATGAAATTTTCAGATCGTTAAAATAAAATTTCGGGATTAGTTTCACATTAGTCACACCATGGATGGACAAGAGGAGAGAAATGGTATATGTAAGGGGATAAGGGATTATAATTATAGGATTAAATGCAAACAAATAGGGTTTCTTTAAAGCTATTTAAGCATGTGTGTGTATGCTCGCGTGTCAAACAAAGAAGCATTCCCCCATGATTAATGAATGTCAGGTGTTATGCAATGTTTGGAATATAGAAAATGGCGGGGAAAGGGGAAAAAGTTCTTCATCATAAGGTGTAAGGTTTGCGAACACTCACCCCTTAGACTCACTTTGTGGGATTTCATTGGGTTTGTTGTTGTTGTAAGGTACAACTATAGGGAAATATAAATTTTAACAGTCTTTTTATAATTTGATTTTAACTTGTATAAGACACTTTTTTCTTGAAAAGAATACATTGAATATATTTAAAATGGCTTCTTTTGATAAATGATACTCTTTTTTTGAGAGAGAGACAACCACAAGTTTTAGGAGTTTAGTTTTTAGGATGGGGAAAGTAGTATTTAAACATGCATTATAAAATGGTAGTACTCATTGCTACTTATCCATATAGGAGCTTGATTTGAAAATTCTTTTATTTGTGCATGTTTATGAGAACTTGTTCTTGAGGACAAATTGACAATACACTTCAAGTCTTCAATGTATTTTTATGCCAACATACTTGCACTTTGTGAGTAAACTATGTATATATTTCTACTCCCTCTGTCTCAAGAAGAAGTTTACATTTGACTTCACGGAGCTTATGAAGTGTTGAAAAGTGAAAGGTGTTTGGTGAATAGTGAAATGTGTGTGGTTGAAATTTATTTAGAAGAGGGAGAATTTATAAGGGCCACAACCATTTCTTAAAAGGAAATGGGAAAGATTTAAACTTCATTTTGGGATATCAAAAAAGGAGAGTGTAATCTTCATTTGAGTACAGAATGAGTATTAAAGAACCTCAGCATATAAAAACAAACAAGCTTGTTCATGAGTACGTTTAATTGAAGTCAAGTAGGTTGTTCATCATATTATTGTTCAATCTCCGTGTTCATTAATTAATTGAGCTCTAAAGTGTTTTGTCTGTGTTCATTTAACTGATTAAACAACACAAATGAATGCCAATCGGATCTGCATAACTTTCTTTAGCTTGTTCATACAGCTCATATAAACAGTGTTACCATTAGCACTACTCTCTCTAATTCCACACCGAAATGTTGCTATCCTAACTTGGAAACCCCATACGCCATAAGCCTTCAATGGTACTAATTTTGGAACACTGTCAGGCCAGGGCACTTCTTGAATGGCATGGTGTATCACGGTTTTGTGGGTTTTGTGGAAGCCAGAATGTTCCTACAGATGCTGGGAAGAGAAAGCAGTGCTCGAATGAGTCGTGCAAGAAAAAAGTTTACCCTCGAGTTGATCCGGTACACTCATATCCTTTGCATAGGACCATACAAGTTTGAAATGCCCAAAAGAGCTGAATATCAACTATATATGTGGGGGTTCCTTGGAACAGGTTGTGATCATGTTGGTCATAGATAAAGAAAATGACCGTGCACTATTAAGTAGGCAGTCAAGATTTGTGCCACGCATGTGGAGCTGCCTCGCTGGTTTTATGGAGGTACAATCAACAGCTTATCCATCTTTTTGCTCCCGTTGAATGTCATAATTAATCTTTTCTTCCTGCACTCGTTATTAGCCAGGGGAAAGCTTAGAAGAGGCAGTTAGAAGAGAAACATTGGAGGAAACTGGCATTGAAGTTGGTGAAGTAGTGTACCATAGTTCCCAGCCTTGGCCTGGTACACTTTCCTTTATAAATTTCTTTCCCCTGATTTCTTCCCGTCTCGAATCATTAGGTTCTTTATAAAAGAAGTCCCAAAATAATTATCTTGCTAGGAATTCAAGAGAAAGGGGGTGTTTCTGTGTGATGGTGCTTATTGGCTTATTGCTGATAAACAGTTTTTAACTTATAACTAATAAGCCAAATATTGTTTTGCAAAAGTAAAATGACTTAAAAGATAGGTAACTCATTTGGAAATATTCATAAATGGTGAGAGACAATTTTGTAAATAATTTGGTCAAAGCGGAGAAACTAAAAAACTGACTTACAAATAAATAGGTAAGACCTACTTAATTTTATTGGCTTATAAGCAGCTTATAAGTTAGCTTATAAACATAGAGAAACATGTTAGCAACGGACTTATAAGCAGTTTTGACTAGCTTATAAGCACAGATAAACACCCACATAATTTTCCAAAATAATGGTTATTGTTTTCTTGTAGTTGGACCTAGTAGTATGCCGTGCCAGCTAATGATCGGGTTTTTCGCATATGCCAAATCACTTGATATAGAAGTGGACAAGGAAGAATTGGAAGGTAATTTCATTACAAATTTTGAGCTCTCTCTCCCCATTTGCTGCCGTTGAAACCCATTTTTTATTTCTGTATAGATGCTCAGTGGCACAAGAGAGAAGATGTGAAGAAGGCACTCACTTACGCGGAGTACCACAAGGCACAAAAGACAACTGCAGCAAAGGTAGACCAGATGTGCAATGGGGGCACCGAGAAAGAACCCAACTCATCCACAACCTTAAATGCCGAAAGCGACAAGATTGCCCCTATGTTTGTCCCAGGACCCTACGCAATTGCCCATCATCTCATCTTCTCTTGGGCTCATAATGGCAAAATGAATGTGGATGAAACACAACCAACACAGCAAGCTGCTGCTTCGCTTCCAAAGTTGTAGCCGGTTTGTATCCTGCTGCTGCTGCTGAACCGGTTGCTCCTTGATTGTATCACAAACCGGTCCGGT